ATTTATAATTAAAATTATTCTAAAAATATCTAGGAGCATTGACAAGTTGTTTAGAACAGGTAATTAGGAATTTTTCTGTGTCTGGGGTGAGACATCGCAAATTTCAAACACTATTCCAGCTATTATAGTTGAGCCCAGCTGGAATAGTGGTAGTAACTTTCACTGCCAAGGGTTCTTTCCAAAGACCAGCCAAATAGCTCAGCAGATTAAAGCACCTGCAAGCAGGTGCAGGGGCCGGGGTTCAATTCCAGGGCCTGCTATACAGGCCTTGTCCCAGGGGCACATTGAGACAGTAATTGAGACCGGGTATGGTGGTACGTGCCTGCCAGCTCTTGGGAGGCTGTAAACAGGCGGATCACCGTGAGTCTTCTAGTAGTGAGACCCTGAATGCTCTGTAGACCCTTCCCTAAAATACAAAAAAAAAAAAAAAAAAAAGATTCCTCCCAAGCTGAAGACCATATTTCCATTGAGAGTGTGTCATCAGCTGATGGGGAGCAGGCCACGATGAGGAGCAGAGAGCCCAACCTGCGCAGCTTTTGGAAAATACTGTTCCATCCGTCCACCTAGACTTCTCATCCATTTCCAGGAACTGCAGTGACATGGGAACACAGTCATCCTCGCTGCTGGTGCCTTTGTTTACACCTTCTATGGCACTGAACTCTTGCCCTAGTATAAGTTCGCTGTTTTTTCATGGACTTGTCAGGGCCCCATTGCACTTTTTCTGCACCTATTGTCATTTTCCCTGGCTTCTGAGAATGGATGAACACCTATACCTCATCTATGGATGTGCTAGAGATCCACATTAAGACCTGCCAACATTATTATTATTATTGTCATTATTATTATTTAATGTATCTGGTACAGGGTCTCACTATGCAGCCCAGACTTGTAGTGATCCTCCTGTTTTCAGCCTCCCAGTGCCGGGATTGCAGGCATGCACCACCACACCTGGACTCTGTGGCCGGCTCAGCATGCCTGGGGGTGGGGCTGGTGTGGCATTTGATTGGCCCCAGTCCCTATGCTTGCCTGCGCAGGTGCTGATCTATCTTGCCGGCCCCTGCCAACATTTTTAACTTTCCTGAACTTACTGCCCTGGAAATCACTGTAATCATCTGTTTCTATAAAGTGTGCATGTGTGTGTGTGTGTGTGTGTGTGTGTGTGTGTGTGTGTAGCCCAAACTATTCATTCTTACCTCACTGATCCTCAATTTCCTTAATTGCAGTTTGAGTTCTGGCTTCACCACTCAGCTCCACACTGAAACTCACTGAAACTATACTCTGCTGGCTAGATAGTTCAGCGGACTAAAGCATCCGCTTGAACAGAGTGCAGTGCCTGCCTTACCCCCCAGGGCACACTAATGTGGCAATTGAGACTGGGCGTGGTGGTGCTCACCTGTAACCCCAGCGCTTGGGAGGCTGGAAACAGGAGGATCACGATGAGTCTGATCTACGTAGTGCGACTCTATAGACCCTATAGATGCTGTATGAAATATATTAAAAAAAAAAAAAAAAAAAAACCTTTCACAGCTTGTTTCCTTCGCATGCAAAACACTGCAGTTTGTATCCCAACAAAAGTTACAACCCAGTATTAGTAGTATTTGTAGATATTGACAGAAGTGTCCTTTTTTTTTTTTATCATTGGGAATGGAACTCATGATTCCACACTTTTCAGGAAGGAGCTGAGCCACTGAGCTATATCCCTGGCCCAGGACTGACTTTCTTATTTCAAAAATTTGATATAAAAATCAAAAATATATTGAGTAAAATTGACAAAAAGGATAATTCATTGTACACATATAAAGCACTATGGATTTATACAGAGAGAAGACAGGCTTTATTGCCTTAGTTACCATTGCCCATCCATCTTTATTTTAAACAAGAGGGTCATATCCCCAAAACACATGGTTTATCCTATACCTTGGCTACTTCATATCTGGACATGGCTTTTTTTCTTTCAACAGACCAAAGTCTATATCCTTGCCCTCCCTCACCTACCACATCCTGGGATGTAGACCCTGCACCACACGCTTGAAATCTCTTAAGCACCACCCATTTTCAACCTCTAGGCCTTGGTTACTGTTGGCTCCTTTCGCTCTCTTTGTTGCTTTGTAAATCTTAATACACAGATTCTTCAGCTCTCCACGTAAGTGTCATTTTCCCTTGGAAGACCCCTCTCTGCAGCTGGCTGTGTACCTCAGATGCGCTTCTGTTTATATGTTTTGTAGGATCACAACATCATCATTAACACAGCTGTGTAACTCTTCCACTAATCACATGAAATTCAAAATCAACATCTTACTGTGATTTCAATCACAGGTGCGGGAGCTCCTATTAATCAAAAGCTGTACCATCAAATACAGCCATGAAGTATAAAGACTGCAGGGTAGGGACAGCCCTTGCTAAAGTATTCACTCCACTAGCTCTCTGTTGCACTCCTTGTAGTCTTCACTTACCTTTCTATGCTTATTTTTCTCACAGGTGAAATTGGAATAACAACAGGTAAAGTGTGTCGCCCATTAGTCCCTTGGATAAAGTGAACAGCTGTTACTAGCTATTCTAATGCGGACAGTGATGGCAATGATGAAGTTGTTCATTAAATTACTGTTTGATAACAAAATATTTAAATAAAATAACTTCACCTAAATTAATATTTATTTCCATGAAATCATATAATACAACTCTACAGGAGTTGTTTAAAGCTGTTTCTCGTAGTACTGAGACTGGTTATTAACATAACAGTTGTTAGCATCTAGAAAAACAAATTTTATAAAGGTCATGATGTTAAAATTATTTTTTTCTTTCTAAAGAAGTCGTCATCATACATAGTTAAGCTCCTGTCAAGACATTTCTTCTAACTACATCTTCTGAGTATACTAGTCTTAGAAAAAGATAAAAATGTGAGAAATAGCTTTAAAGATGAAAAAGCAAACAAGTCTTTGAACTAAAAATACAGCCTATGCAGCAATTAAGAACAAAATATCTTAAGTTGAGCTCTGAAGAACATATTGGTATATCTACTGAGATGTGTCAAATCTCAAAAATTGTCAGTGAGTTAATAAGTGGCAGACAATATGGAAATCACTGTTCAGTTTTAAGAGGACATTACAAACTTCAGATAATAAACACTAAAGCAAGTACATTTATAATTTCTTTAAACAGAAAAAGGATTTAAGCTTATCAAAGAAAAATAACATTTTAAAAACAAATAGTATTCTGACTTAGAAGAAATTGCTAGCCAAAACGTCTTAATGAATTTTAGTTTTCCAACAGAACATATTTTCTGTACTCTAGCTAGATATTGCTTTGGAAGTGCGGAGAAAACTGACTGCATTGGATAATGGGACACATGTTTTAAAAAGAAATCTATTTCTGCTTGGTTAGTGAAGTTTCAAAGTATTAAAATATATTGATGCTGATGATGGTGACCATGACAATTGAAAAATATCTACGTGAAAAACTGCAGTGTTGTTTATAAAGTACTGTTGCACAATTCATTGCGATTAGTGGGGAAGCATACTGATACATCTATCGCTAAATTGTGAAGATCACTCAGCTATCAATTTGCCCTAATTCCATTCAATTAAACACACAATAAAAAATCTATGATTATTTATATAAACAATTTTATAGCTCTTCTGGAATAGTGTATTCTTATGTCTGGCTGTTTGTAGAAACACAAATGCCTGATGTAATGTACCACTCAGCAAGTTAGCTTTGATGTAATTTTTAAAAATATTGAACTAATTATGATGAGGTTTGGCATTATTATTATTATTATTATTATTATTATTTTTGACGGAACCAGGCATTGAACTCAGGCCCTTGCACTTGCCAGGGAAGCGCTTATTCCACTGAGCCATCTCCCTGGCCCCATTTGGCATTATTATATAAAGCATATTTAATCTTTTTAAGAGCCTATCAAACTGAATCACAAGGTACAATCTGTTTATGTAATAAGCAGTGATATGCAATATTAACAACAATATTTGGCTTAATTAGAAAACATCCATGTTATATGAAACACATTTTAAGAGTAAAATATCACAGAAGTCTAATCTGAACTGGCCATTTAAGTATATATTAAAAATACATTATTTTACTTGGAATATTGTTCTTTTTCTCTTCTGTCTTTCATACAGAGCATACTGTACTATTAACCTGTTACAACTAGCTTCTATTGGGATTGGTTTAATGGTACAGCCTTTGCCTGGTGGACAGGAGGCCCTGGTTTCTACCCTCAGCAGAGAAAAGAAATACAATAAATATAAGCTGTGCAGAAAATTAAGGATGAAATACAGATTTAATAAGCCTTGTGGGGACAAGAAGAGAACCTGTCCTGGTAGAAATCGCATACAAGAAACCACTTAAAATTGAGGATCAGGTAGTATGTTAAGTACTTCAAACAGATGAGCTAAACAGGAACTCAGGAACACCATTTCTAGCATTGTCTGTGCTGTATCAAGAAGTCCTATGAGCTGAACCTACTTTAGAAATGAAAGTCTTTTCAAAAATCTCCTCCCTTTTTACCTCGTTTATCCATCTTTCTCCATCTCCTACATGGAGGGTATTTGTGACAAAAACCTCAAATCTCTTAACCTCATCCTTATATTTAGGTGGTCTAATACTATAGAAAGTGCCTGTGACCACACTTAGCATATAGAGTGGACAGGACTTCATGAACCTTCTGCTCCTGTGTTCTCAAAGCTATTAACTCTGCTTTTTGCCACTGGATTTTTCAGGGGCAAAGATTCACAGCAAAACCAAAATTCACAGCAAAACCAAAATATACATAGAGTCATGAAAACCAATAAGAAAGCATAGGTCTTGACACAGGAACCTGAAACTACTGTTTAGTTAAACTAAGCCAATTCTACCCAATAGCATGAAATCTAACAATGTATGACAGAACAAGATAATTTCTGGAGGAAAGACAGGCAGTAACACTGGAATTTTATGTTACTATATGATATAGAGTAAAAGACGTAATAAAGACTATTTACCTTCGCAAATTGTGACACCATTCCCCGAAAATCCCACGTTGCAGTAGCAGGCTTCTGCTCCATTGTGTATTTCACATTTTGCATTTGGGAGGCAACGTGTCTTGGTGCAACTTTGAGTATAGGAGCAACTCAACAAAGTGGAAAAACCCACTAAATAAAAAGGAGAAATACATCTTAAAAAAAAAAAGAAAGAAGACCACTCCCCTCATTGTTGATAGAGTAAAAGAAATAAATATTCCTTTCCACTTAGATACATAGATAATAACAGTGTTCAGCTAAATAACAGCATAAAAACAACTAAAGAAGATGGTTTTCCCCCATTGTAATCTTAATCAAGTAAATCTCAACAAAACTAAAATATAATGAGTAACCTGGTTTTCTAATAAAAACATTCCAATCATTGATCCAATATTACCCTTCAGTCTGAGATGAGAGACATTTAAAGGTAATTGTATGTTTTTAAGCAATTTCCCTCTTCTGAAGGCAAAGTTTCGCAGGAGGCAAGGCAAACTGGGTATTTGGCTCTTTTCAAATTGACACCTGTGTTATTTAAAGATACATTAACATGTAAGAGGACCAATGCAATGAATTTTGCCCCCTATATTGAACGGATTGCCAATACTGCCTTTTTAAAACAAAATTCCATTTATATTTTCTTACATTAAAGAAAATGCTGATAAAATGGAACATAGAATTCAAAGATTGTTCTTCCAGAAATGAAACATCACTTAAAGGCAACAGATGAGAAAGAAACAAAACTCACACCAAGGCTTTCAGAGTTATTGAAAATAAAGTTGGAAATGATGTTTGGTGGACTGCAAGGAAAAGATAAGGAAAAGCAAAGGATGTTCCTGTTTTTATTGTTCCAGGTCTTCCCAAGAGCGGGCTAGGGGACCGACCAACAGCCATGAATCACAGAGTCATTGTTCTGAGAACAGTCATCTGAGATAAATTGTCCTTATCCGTACCCAGAGAGTTTTAAACGTCCAATTCTAAGTCCCAGCCCCACATCAGTGTCTGTAGCGTCTAAGGTAGAATTAATCCAGAGATATGATTTATTATCTATCAGCCCTGCCCCATCAAGAAGGTAATTTAAATGAACCCAAAGTCTGGGCAGGCAGGCAACCCCCTGAAAAGGTCAGGAAGGCTTCCACAGTGCTAATGGCTTGGATTTCCCAGGTTTCTTGGGGGGAAGATGAAAAGAAAGGTCACAGTCACCACTTCCAGGACTTGGGGGACTTCGCCAGGTGGACTGCAAAGGTAACGGCCCCCGAGCCCTGAAACTCAAACTCCGGAGGTTGCAAGGCCACCGGGACCAACGTGCAGCTGCGGACGCAGCGCCAGCCCCCGACCCACGTGGGCGGTGCGGAGCCCCGCGCCCGCCCGGCCCAGAGCGCGCCGCACTCACCGAGCAGCAGCGGGAGGAGTCGCATCGGGGGCGGCGGTGGCGGCCGTGGCGGCGGCGGCGGCGAGCTGCGGACCGGACCGGGATACCGGGCAGGCGGCACCGGCCAGGCCCCAGCGTCCCGTGACGCCCGTTTCCTCCGGACACTTTCCGGCCTGGGGTGTGTGTGTGTGTGTGTGTGTGTGTGTGTGTCCCTGAGCCTGCTGGTCACGTCCGGCCTCTAGCCCCTTTGCCCAGGCCACCTGCGGTCCCTATCCTGCCTTGGGGGTTACCCACTCCCAACAGAACTGCAGCCCCTGCTGGGCCTCATTTTTGGGGTGCTGCTCTGAGAGCCTGAGCTTGGTAGCCAAAGATCTCCAAAGCCCCAGGGACCCTGCCAAGAAATCCACCCAACTAAATACATTTTTGGGGTCCTCCCTGAAGCCTCAAGTCCAAGACACTCCCTTTTTTCCATTCAGTAATGAATTTCCTGTGGAAACAATGGGCCGTGGAATCAAGAGACCGAGCCCTGCCAAAGGGACGTTCTAGGACTAACTACTCACCTGACCTAAAGGCTAGAATCCAGGTTAAAATGACCCAGTAAAAGAACAAATGAAATCCAAAAACCAGCTGTCAAGAATTAAACAGATCCAGAAGTGCAAGAAGTTGTTTTTGGTGTTCTAACTAATTTTCAGGTAAAATCTCTCTGCATCGCCTGTGCACCCCAGCCCCAACAGTTTTGATAGGTATATGGCAAGCTTTTTTGTATTAATGTATAAGTTGTAGAGAAACAGCTTACAGATCTGTCAGGTTAGAACAAACAAACTATTCTAGTTCAAAAATTAAAAATAACTGGCAGGCAAAGGAATCATCTGTAATTGCTAGAAAGCAGATCAATGGTTGCCTGAGATTGGGACATATCTGGGAATGGAAGGCAGAAGCTTGGGGCTTACTGCAGTGTTCTCGAGTTCTACCGAAATGATGGTGACAAGATTGCATAAGTTTGACAAAAACATCAAATCATGTACTTACAGTTGGTGCACGGTACTATACAAGAAATTCTACATGGTTTAAGTAAAGTCCACTTAAAGGGAATGACTATTGCCCATTAACGGGAGCAGTCTTACTTGAAACAGTTGGCTGTGCTTTTATGTCTCAGTTTAAGTTAATAAATGTCTACTTTAATAAATCTGCACTGTGTAGAGAGCAGCACCCTTGCGGAGATGATCCGCTGCAGCCCCTAAAACGTAGCCACCGTGGAACCTGTAAGTTGGCAGGGACACAGCCAAAATATTCACAGTGACACTCATGGCAGAGACCCTGTACTTGAGAGGGATGTTTTGTGGTTCTGCATAGCATTTCATCGTCCCTATCTGGGTTACTTTAAGCTGGGTAAAATTTTTTGAGCACGATACCACGAGACATGAGGTCAGTGAGAAACAGAGGTGCTGTGTGAGTTCCCCTGAGTCACACAGCCTATCTAAGTAGTTGGGCTTCCTTCAGACCCAGCCTATTTTGCTCCCTGCCCAGGCCACCAGTTATCCTCGTATGTTCCTTCTCCAGTGGTGTTACTTATTGTCTGAAAGTTGTGAAAAGAGAAGCCAGCAGAAGAGGAGGGCTTCTCGGGGAGTCCAAAGAGGTATTCTAATGCTCCTAATGCCACTACCTCCCCCAAAGGCTTCTTGATCCTTTCTTTTTAGAAGATTGATTTCTTTCTTTCTTTCTTTCTTTCTTTCTTTCTTTCTTTCTTTCTTTCTTTCTTTCTTTCTTTCTTTCTTCTTTCTTTCCTTCCTTCCTTCCTTCCTTCCTTCCTTCCTTCCTTCCTTCCTTCCTTCCTTCCTTCCTTCTCTTTTCTATTCAATGCAGAGAGCAAGCAGTTCAGTGGGAAAACTCCGGTCGAGATCCCCATGATAGATTTTAGGATAGCAAAGGTAGGGAAGCAAGAAGAGAGTATGAATATTCCAGGACGAGGCAGTGCAGGGCTCTAGGAGAGGAGAGTCAGGGCTGGGCTGACAGGGACAGATTCCAGAAGCGCTAGGGGGCACAGCGATGTCTGGCTTGCTTGGGAAGGGTGACGGATGTGCCTGAGACACAGTGTGGAGGTTTTCACATGTGTGAGTGAAAAAAGGTTAGAACCGTTTACAAAAATAGGAAAGTCAGGATGAGGATGGGCTTTGAAAGGATTAAAGAAAGGAACTCACTTGAGGAAGTGCTGCGAAGATCTCACTGTGTTTCTGTGAAGCTTCCTTCTTCAGTCACAGGAATTAATTTCAACATAGTGTATCTACAGAGAAGCTAATGGCCAAAGGCTTCCTTGTAGAATCATACACTGTCTTCTGAGACATTATAAACTGAAACATAGTATTTATTTAAAAAATCGTTACACTAATTTAAGATGCTTTACTCCATATAATCACCATACATGCTTAATTTTTTTTTTATCTTCACATCATGAAAGACTAGCTGATCATTTCAAATATTATTCTTTTGCTGGGCAAGCGCAGGGTCCTGAGTTCAATCCCCCACACCACAAATAAATAAATAAATAAAATAAAATGTTATTCTTATCTATACAATGCCAAAAAATTAGGAAAATACAATTATACTTTGATTTTATTACAAAAATACTCTCCAATCTTTTGCTTGAGTGTGCTTATCAAAAAGTAAAAGCTTCTTCATAATTTTTATCTAAAAGTGATGATCTACAGGTGAACACAAAGTGTTTAATGATGTTTTGTAGTTTTAAGATTGTCACTGTCCAGTCAAACCATTAAAATGTATTGCTTGAAGGAAGCTGTGCTTCCTAAAGGCGTATGTATAAGCCAGTCACTACATAGCCCCAGCCCATTATCTTTATATTACTTGACAAGAAACATTTAGAATTTTCAATCAAAAAATTATCAGTAAGAGAAAAGCGTGTTTGAAGAGCTGTTCTCAAGGGAGTATCGAATTGTAAGTCTACACTTTATAAAAAATGTCCAAGCAACCAAGCATGTTTTACTTTTAGAGACACATGTACTTAGAGTTAGAGGTCTAGGCTAAGTACAACATAGGGAGGTTAGATCATTTAAACTGCCTACCGAATGGTGCCTTTAGTGGCATACGCCAGTGTATTGCAATATTCGAGTTTGCAGTGTGAGATCTTACCAAGTCTATGATTAGCTCTACTTTAGGTGTGGAGTTTTTTTAGGTATGTTTATAAGGGCTAAATTAACAGGATTTCCTTGAAAAATTCTTGGACAGGTTGGAACTTGCTTTGGAAAGCCCTCACTGTGAAGATCTGGGGTAGCTACAGCTTTTATCTTGAGTGACTTATTTAACTCCTTGGGATCAGTTGACCTTGATACATGAAAGTAACAGCGCCTCCCCTGCAAGACCATAGCACATGACACAGTGTGTTATGTGCTCAGAACTACTGGACAAGAGTTCAACCCGTGTACGTACATGCAGTCAGTGTATGGTTGATAGGAAGGCCTTCTCTAGAAGTGTATTTACTGTGTCTACCAAGACCCTCTCTAGGAGCTTGTGCTGTTCCTGCGCTTCCTTCCTGCAGCCTTTGTCACAATGTTTAATTCTCACTTAAGTGTTACTAATGGGATTGGATTTCAAATGTTTATTCAGCTTGGTATTATATTACTAAGTATTAGTCATCACTGATGTTTGTCTTTTCTCAAGTTACTGAACTTTTGTCACCAATTTGCTAATTTAGATATTTCTTCAAGATTTCACATTATCACCACTTTTCCTGCAGCCCTAAATGGGTTGCTATTTACTTTGCACAATTTTCCACCAAGTTTTGATGTTTATCAGCACAAACAATAACAACCTATACTTGACCAAAGTGCAGTAGAAAAGTGAAAGAGGGAAAATTGAATTATGCATAAATTAGGGGCGGAAAATTTGACCCCTACGTAATGTTGAAATTTGAAAAGGACTTAACAAAGTCTTAGACCAACACGCCCAGCTTAAAAGAACTCTTAGCAATGGGTAAAGACTGAGGTGTTATAAAAAGGACCTCTTTGGTCTTTTAGAACATGAGGGATATGGGCTCAGTAGTGTTCCTTCCTCTGTACCTTGCCTGAGACTAAGCATGGGTGTTTTGTTTTGTTTTTGTTTTTAAAGCTGACTGAATGAACAAGTACAGAAGTTTGTAAAAGAATGTGTAGTATAATTTGTAGAAATAGTAAAGTTTTATTTTGGGACACTGGCTAGAAATGTCTTGACTCAGACTTCTTTGAGATTTCCAGGTGCATATTGTATCACTGGGACAGAGCAGAAGCTCATATTTTACATTTAATTTAAAGAAATAGTCAGCAAAATTTAGGTACTTATGCAGCTTTTTATAGTTCCAAGCAGGGGAGAGATGAAGTGCTGCTTCCCCTCTGGTGTTAAGCCTGCGACCTAACCGAAGAGTAATCAGGGACAGGAGTGTTCAGCTCTAGCTCTCCAGCAGCTTGCGTCTCTGTGGTCTGTGCTGAGTTTGATTAGGGAGTGCCCACACTTTTTTATACCAAAATAAATTCTACTTAAATGTCTTTAATGATTTACCTGCTAACTATGAAAGTAAGTAAATATTTCAAAGAACATGTTTTGAAATTGGTTCTCTAAGCCGGAGCATTTTACTTTTTAAGAGGAATGCTGACTTGTATGAGTAGGGATGTTTGACTTGCTTTTGTGCTAGTGATGTTTTCAGTGGAAGGGACTGCAGAAAGCATCTGGCGATTTTCAAGAATGCATGGAAGGGAGGAGACCCAAGTTCCTTCCCAGCCTTGTCGTTCAATTGTTTTGTAACCTTCAGAAAAATCACTGAATCTTTCCATTATTCTGGTTACCATTTGCAAATGTCTGTTGCATACTGTTTCTTTGCCCCTAGGATTCATTCAAAAAGATTTATAAACTAGCATCCATACGTTTAGGAACAGGCATTATTTTGAACAAGACATTGATTTACAGAAAGAGAGGGAGAGAGAGAGAGACAGACTTTGTGCTGTTTGCCTTTCAGCAGAATTTCAAAGTATCTCATTAATCTCTTTCTTTTGTTTGCATCTTTTCCATGTTGTACAAGCACAAGCCAACCTCTTGTACTCCTAGATGGTAATGTGAAACCACCGTCTATTTAATATATTATAATTTTTCATCGTGCTATCAATATGTTATATCACTGATTTTATTCATTGTTAGTTTTCATTGACTTGTCCAAAATAATACCTTCTGTGATTACAGAATTCATCTGGATGTATAAGTAAAAGTAGTGTAAATTATGTCTTTAGACCTGTAATACATTGTACTTACGTTAATTTTCAGCTATCTTTGTGTTTTTCAAATGCTAGCTCATTGTATCTTCCTAAAAATACCTACAATTGCTCATACATTTAGGAAAGTTTAGCATTATAACCATGTA